GAAAATTAGATCTACATTTTCAAAAAAATCACATGTTTATCTGTAAGAAGTCCTTTCAAGGGAAAAATACTGAAATTATACATGCCAGCTAAAATTGTTTTAGCAATTTTGCCAAAAACTAAGGACTGTTATTAGGGGGGGGAAAAGGAAATCCTTATGTATATCAAGTATTAGAGTGGCATGCATATATGCATATTCATTTGTATGTGGTACAGACGTATTTATTTATAAGGCAGAAATATATTGGGAAACCTGTTGGCAGGTCAACTATGAGCCAGTTCCAACTCGATGGCAATGAGTCTGAGTAATCAGTTATTAGAAGTAAGTAAAGAGGAAATGACTTAAATTGTCGATTTCTGTCTTAGACAACTATAGAATAGTAATAATAACAATGACACTCTAAAAAGATAAGGAGGAGAGGTAGCCACTCAGATCAGAAGAGAAAGATGTAAGATTTAGAGACTGCCACTCATACTGCAGTGATATCTGAGTTGGAATCAGTTCAATGGAACTGCTGCTCATTTTTTTTTAGTGTGTGTGTGTGTGTGTGTGTGTGTGTGTACACTATCAAATCGGATCTGCCTGGTACAGGAGGAGATTGCTTCTCCTTCTCCAGCAGAGCATCTGGTGGATTCAAACCGCACACCTCTGGGATTGCAATGCAGCTTCTTGCCACTAGGCCACCAGAGTGCCCCTACTAATTTCATTTTTAAAGTAACATATATGACATATGTTACTAGGGAGCACTGCTGGCCTAGTGGTAAGAAACTGTAGTGCAATCCTAAAGTCAGGCAGTTCAAATGCACCAGTTGCTCTGTGGGAGAAGGATAGGCAATCTCCTCCCGTGCAATTAATCTGCCCCTGAAAACCTGCCAGAGGGTCAGCTGTGGGTTGGTTCCGATTTACAGCTGCATGATAACAACAAACAACACGACAGTTATGTTTGTGTTCACAGCCCCATTTCCCATTTTGAAGATAAGAATCACATCTTTGTTCATCTTGGCATATGTCTCAATTCTAAACTGAATGTTCCTTTAAGCTGTACAATATAAGCAGACAGGTCAAAGTCAGAAATAAATGTACACTTAAATCAACTTTTTTCTTTCCATTGGCCTTTCCAACTCTATTACTAGTATTCATCATAGTCTACATGTTAATAGTATAAGCTACGTAACTTCTAAGTTATATTCTAAGAAAAGCAAGAATTCTAAGTGACAAGTTATCTTTTTAAAAAATCATTTACACAGCCAGATTGTTCGTTCTTTTAATTTGTTTATAAAAACATATAAAGCAGCATCTCCAATATAAATTATTAAAATTCTCTTCAGAAATCCCAAGTTTATATGTAAAACCAGATAAGCTATATTGTTTCCATGCTTCAGTAAAGAAAACTTTTCAATACCATTCTTACAAAAACATATAAACAGTTAAAATGTACAAGGCTTTTTATAAAATTATAATATACAATTACATAAACTGCACCTGACAACTATGTGCACAAGTTCAAGGGTAATTAGTAAAGAAAGTCATATTCCACTTCCTTGTCTAGCTGACATTATCCTTGTTTACATATATTTAATTGTTTATGTAAAAAGCAGAAAACCACTTCTAAGCTTCTACACATTGATTTTATAACCAAACATGCTTATGGGAACACAAAATCAAGGAATGCTTTCATATACAATTCATTTTCAAAATACAACTATAAAACCTCTTTATTTGTTATGGTCCACATGTAGATTCAGGGTTAATTTAAAAGGTAGGTAAATAAACATAGAATTCATTATTTTTCTCTTAACTGTGTTTCTTTAATAGTGCTTCCTTTTACACAGACAGCAAGGTACTATTTTTTTCCTTGGTATAACAATTAGTGGCATGGCTCCCCCCCCAGTACTAAAAAATTAAATATAACATACTTGAACAGTCATTACTTATGTGACAAGGGTTTCAGCCCACAAGAAGGGAGATTGCAAGCTAAGGTGGGTAATGTGTGAGGTTAGAAACCAATCTGTTTTTGTTGTTGTCAGATGCCACTGAGTCGAGGACGGCGTGTATCTGAACTCTGTCCTATCCTGGGCCATCCTCAAAATCTCTGACACAACTGGACCGACTACTACAGTCACTGAGTCAATCCACCTCACTGAGGGTCTCCCTGCCCTTTGCCATCCCTCTACCTCTCTGATGGCCCTCTCCACGGAAAAGCCTTTCCTAATAACATGCCAGAGTATGTAAGATGAAGGGAAAAGGAAAAGAGGGTAAAGCAAAAAAAGTGTGTTTGGTACAGTAGAATCATATCTACAAAAGCCAACTAAAGGGCATTAAAAATGTTCAATCTCTACAGCAGGGGACAGATTAAATATAGCAATCAATTTAAAAATTACATATATTTTGTAATTTGGTATATAATTACAATTAAATCTTTATACTTACATTGAAATATTATATACTTGATCAGAACTCTTGTCTGTCTCATCGCCACTGAGTCAGAGCTGATACACAGCTGCCCGTCTAGAGGTTGTAAATGGCACAGGAGGAGAAGGAGGCTGCAGCTGGTGAACCTGCACTGCCTGCCTTTGGGCTGGTAGCACACCTCATGTACCAGAGCATAAGAACACTCCATGTGATCAGAAAACAAAAATTATTTTGTGTTTGAAAATGGAAATATTTGAACTGAACCAAAGCACTTGATACCTGGGATACCAGGCAGTTAGCAGCACTTGGTGGGAGGAGAATGCACACTTACTGTGAAAAATCACTGCCACAAGGAGTGTGTCCACTCACTTTTTACTATAAACCCAATGGCCACAGTAGTATGGACAACAGATCTCTCAACTCCCCCCCTTTGAACCTAAGAAACTGACATTCCCTCAGCTAACAGGGCAAGTACACATCATGGACAGGCTGGGAAATGTACTTAGAATATTGCCTTTACTTACTACCTTGTAAAACAGAATTGCTTTCTTCTGACCTAAAATAATGTCATAAATCCTAACCAGTCACCATAGAAAGACCTAGGATTCACTCTACAAGGTGTGCTAGACTGTTAAAGTAGTAGTATTATCTCAACCTCAAGGTTTTATTGTAAAAGAAGGCAAAATAGCAACTTTAATGTAGATTAAGTATTTTTTAATTCATGTGCAAAGTGGGCCATTTTTGTGAATAATCGATCAGGAACTACTGTCAACTTCACTCTTAAGATTCTAAGTTAGAAACTGCCTATATATAAAATTTATGTGAGAAATCGTGTATCTACAGTTCAAAATCATGAAAATACTTGCTCAAGATTCAAGAATAGAAAATGTAGTTGGGACAATTCAAACTGTTCATAAAATATAGCTTCTGACTTATATGATCACTTAAGCATTTGTATTACTTACATGGAGCAATCAGTGGGGGGAAATGATAAGACATCACACACAAAATAAATGATATTTAGTCAGAATCAATTAAGTCATCAGGCTTCCTTAAGTCTTTCTTTGAAAATCGGGCATAAAAATGTCAGACAGATAAAAATATTGGAATGCCATTTTCCAAAAATAAACCACAACAAGAAATAGAAAGTATTTCTTTTAAATAGTTGCCAAAAAAGTATTTCTTTACTGGGAAAGGCTCTGCTATTTTCTTTTCATTAAGAAATAACACTTCAGACACCACTGTAATTTTTTTCTGCGAGAAATACTATTACTATAGCAGCATCTTTTTGTATATATATAAAAGATCATAATTCCTATTAGCAACTTTGCTTGGTATTCCTCACAACCAGAGCACAGATGCAGAGCTGATTCTCTTGTGGGTTTTCAGAAGTGGTAAACTACACAGGAAAAGACTGCCTATCTTCTTCCCTAAGAGCAGCTGGTGGATTCTAAGTCCTTGCCTTTGGGTTGACAGTTCACCTCCCTACAACTAACCCAGGATAGTTCCCTTAGTAACACTTTCCTTTATAATGCTTTCTTTTTCCAAGGCAGTGGTTCTCAAGTAGAAGCATACATCGAAATCACCTGGGGACCATTTTGAAAGTACACATTCCCAAAGCTCCTTCTTCAATGATATCCCAAATATCTAGATTGAAGCCACCAAACCTACATTTTGGAAGAACATTCTCCTGCTGGTTCTGGTTGGTTGCTGAGGAACAGTGATTTAAGGGAGGACGAGGGAGCTCCCTAATGGGTCTGCTGGTCCTGCTAACTTTGCCACTGTGCAGCAACTGCTTTTCAAAACAAAAATGCTAACTCATCATTTGTTGAAGAGTTAATGATATCTGATAAAATATTGAATCACAGAACATACAGCCATGATTAAAAATACTTTCTATATATTTATTTAAAAATGTGCACGGAGGACAAATGGTTTCAAAAATGTATAAAAAAATAATTTGCTTTATTTCAATTATAATATTTACATGGTCCCTTGAAGAGTTTTCATCAAAAATGTATTTCAACAACTTTCACAGTATTCTTAATAGTAAAGAACTGAAAGACTTTCTAATAGGAAAAATTTCATATTAACCTTCAGAAAAATAGTGAAACTGAGAATACCACTAATATTTTAAAAGTATTATGTCTTAGTTATGCTATGTCACACATAAGAAAAGGTTCATCACTGAACTATAATAATCCCAAGTGGTAGCACTTTTGCTTAAAAAAAGCACAAAAATATTTTGTAAAAGTCACTGTAAAAAGTTATAGAGCTGAATGAATACTTCAAACAAGAAATATCTGAGGATTTACTTTCACATGATCAAGTCGTCATATGTAGTCTGTAAACAGACATTCATTATAGGTTATGAACTTAAATAAAGCCAGTTATCAATAAAAAGCAGTTTTTAAAAGAAAAAAAATCAGTGCAAAAATACATATCCACTAAAGTTGTTATTGACTCACTTAAGACAATTTTAATCTAAAAATCATACCTTGAGTCCCACAATATAAAGTGAATCTATAAAGACTTTAAATTGATTTAAAATAAGAAACTCTAACAGTTACCAAGATTTCTTTTTGTTGCTATTCTCTGGTAAAAGCCTTCTTTTGATTAGCTTTCACAATGTCATCAGGAGAAGCTGATTTGAAATCAAACGGTGTTATTTTTATAAGAGGGCTTTTTTCTTTGTCCTTTACATCCTGAACTTGTCTACCATAAAGAAAAGTCTTGTAGAGGTGAAGGGTGCGTCGCTTGCAACTTTTTGATGGGTAATGAAGACACAATGTTGAAGCAAAAGCTGAAGGTCTAGCAGCAAGAGCCTTGGTCCAAGAGAGAGAAAAAGGGGATTTCCTACTCAGAGAGGCTGTATTGTTTTTCTTGTTGTTTTTATCATAACTGGAATTTTTCCCTAACTTTAAACTTTGAACTGTACTTCCTGGTGTTGCTACAATTGATCGATCTACTATGGATTTGGGGCCAAAGTCTGGAGTTTTTATAAGGACACTAAGATCAATATTTGAATCTATCCCTGAAGATCTATTATCAGGTAAACTGAACTTAAAGAAATCTTTCTTAATCTGAGATTTGTCTACATCAATTGTTTCTGCAATCAAATCAGAAAGTGACAAATTTTTAAGGTCTCTTGTAGGAGAAGCTTTACAAAATGCCAAAGATGATAAAGATCCTGTTAATTCTGATAGTCCAGGCGGAGATTGATGCTGATTTGCAAGCTGTGACAGGGGAAAGGATCCCAAACTGAAATCTGTGAAACTGGCAGATGATGAGTTACAAAGATCAGATGAAGGAAAACGCTGCTCTGGGCTGTCTTTGTGCTCCTGAGATAGCTCGGCTAAGGACGGACTTTCATACCGAGAAAATGGAAAAGTGTCATTTTTTAAAATGGAATTCTTAGCACTTTGTCCAGCTCTAGAAGTATTTTCAAATTTGGTCTTTTTATGAGCATTGAAATTACTAAGAGTTAACCTTTCCAATGAGCTGTTTTGTACCGGAATGTTTTGGAAATCAGGCAGTGATTTATGTTCAACACATACTGGTGTGCTCTTTATCACTGATGACTTTAAATCTGGTATTCCTCTGAATTCAGTATCACCTTGGGAAACACATTCAGATGCATGAGGTCTTAACAAATCAGCGTTTATACTCTGGGAAAGTACACTTTCCAGACTGTCTGTAGATGATAATCTTACTGATGGTTCACTTTTACAAGACTCATAGAGTGAATCCCTTGGCATATCATTAATGAGGTCAGCGAGAGACACCTCTTCTGGTAACTTACATGATTCTAGTTTCTTTCCACTTGTAGGTCTATCAAGTTTCTTTTTTTTATGGAGCAAAGAGTGACTTGGTACAATTGGGGAGTTACAATATAGTCCACATTTTGATACTGCATCAGAAAAATCAAAAGGTGTGCTATTATAATCCAAATCATTTGCTGATAAAGGACAATAGCTTTGAACATTATTGACTGAAACTTCAGAGGAAGAAAATAAGACTCCTTACCTTACAAGAGCCATTAATTTTCATATGAATAGGTTGACATATTCAGAAGACAGTCACAGCAACCAAAAGGAAACATGAAATGAGGCATTTAATTACCAAATGTTTTTGTCAGAAGTAAAGTTCTATCTGCTGATTATTTAACATTACTTGTATGCTAGCTAAAGGACCAAAAATTGATTCTTTCCTTTTAAAAATCTACACTTTTATACTTTGTTCACTGATATATTAAAGCAGAAATGACTAAGTCTGTCACAGTTCTAATGTTCCTAAATTTTATGTCAGAGTTGTCTCACGTCTAAAATGTCTAAGAAAGAAATGAACTGAGATCATCTTCTGCATTTTTAATATATTAAAAAATTAGTAAGAACACAAAATGTCCTGTAATTCCTACTATTATCTGGGATACACATGCAGACTTCTCTCTGTATTTGATGAGTTAATAATGTACAAAACGAAAACAACTCTTATTGACTGCATGCAACCTTGATGTGGCAAAAAAATCTCATCCCAAGGTTACAAGAAATACAAACCCAATTAACAGTTAGCTATCTTTACTAGAGCAGCACGCTCCTACAGACAACGTCACACTAGTTAATAAAATGGAGCTCCATGCCCTTCTACCCAGAAAATCCCAAATTTAACCCCGAATTCTACAAATCTAAAACTAAAGATCTACATACAAAACGAGCTTTATATGATATTTAAATAAAATTAAATTAAGATCATATTTCAATTAAACATGGTTTAAGCACAGACAGGAAACTCTGACGGAGTAATACTGAAAGCAGTCCTCTGTTAGAAGATCAGTGATTCAAACCTACCAGGTGCTCCACAGGAGAAAGCTTGGCAGGCTGCGTCCATAAAGACCTAGAGCCCTGGAAAGCCCTGGGACAGTTCTGCTCCACACTACTGGGTACCTACAGAGTCACTGAGCTGTCAAGGTAGCACCCTGTCAGTAATGGATTTGCTTTTGGGGTTATAAGTATAGGAGAAATTTTGGTATTAATTGTCTGGTCTTGACTTTCCAATCTTGTCTGAGTTTGAAAAAAACAACAATTAAAATTCTAAGCTACTAACAAGAAGCAAGTATTGTCTTTCTTGTGTTTATCTGACTTAATTTCCCTTACTTTGGGGTAATTTTTATTATCAGAAGGGGCTAATCTGAAGAGAAGGGCATCAAGTGTGGGGAAAGTTGAGGTGAGGGTAAAAATAAATAACCTTCAATGAGATGGGGTGACACAATGGCTCCACTGGGCCCAAGCACAGCAGTGAATAATGAGGATGGTGCAGGACCTGACCAGTGTTTCCTTCTTTGGACATAGGGACTCTATGAGTAAGAACCAACTCGATAATAATAAATGAATAATAAAAATAATAATAAAATATATAAATCTAACAACAAAAATGAAGCTGTAGTGATGTAGTACTTAAAGCTACCACCAGATATTTCACAGGCCAAAGAGGTGGAAGTCTGCTTCTCTTAAAGATTTACAGACTTAACTCTAAGGACCAGTTCTATTCTGTGTTTCAGATTAACTATGAGATGGAATCAATGTGATGGCAATGGGTTTGGTGTTTATATTGTGTGAAGGAGGAGCCTTTGTGGCACAACAGTTAAATGCTTAGCTACAATTCAAGAGATTAGCAGTTCAAATCCGCCAGCTCCTCCTCAGGAGAAAGATGTAACGTCAGCTCCCATAAAGCTATAGACTCAAACACCCCACAGATTCTCCTTTATCCTAGAGGGTCACTATGAGTCAGAATCACCTTCACAGCTATGGGCTTAATTTCTCTGTTTCTAAGCTTTTATTGTTTTTAAAAAAATTTCAATTAAGACAACCCTGACAGTGCAAATGGTAAAGTATTTGGTTGCTAACTGAACAGTTGCAAGTCTGAACACACATGGGGTTCAGCAGGAGACTAGCAACCTCATCCTGTACAATTATAGTTAGGTCCCTAGAAAACTCTGTGGGGCTGTTCTAACATCATGTGGAGTCACTAAGATTTAAAATGAACCCAGTGACAAGAAATGAAGTAACAGGCTAAAAGAGAGGAAAGGAAATATAGTTCCCAGCTTAAAAATTCATAAACTAGAAAATTAATTACTAGTAATCAAGTGTGACATACTCAATTTTCTACTCATCTGACTTAAAATCTGAAGACAAATCCATTGTTAAGCATTTACTATGTACATTAACGAAAAGAGATTAAGGCATACCTTTTGCTGTCTCTCCTGTAGCTACTGCTTTGTCACTCCTGACTTTCAAGTTCTGTACTTTGTCTTCCTCCAGAACCATTGCCAAAGCCTTCTGCACATCAAACTTGCTTTTAAGAACTGCTTCAATCAGTATTTCATCTGGTATAGCATCACCAAGTACCTCCCTCATGTAATCAAGGCATGAATGAAGACGAGCTAAAACAGACAATAATAGTAAAAGTTATATACTAATTACATTATTACATATTGAATGAAGAAATCTATTGGCAATACTCTTGCTGGCAATTATTAACCTAGTTGCTTTTAACTGCCCCAACTCACAACAAAATGCTGGCTGGTCATGTACCATTCCTCATCATGGGCTGTGCACCAAACTATTATGATTTCCATGGTTTTATACTGACTGATTCTGAGAGGTAGAGCTCTAGGCCTTTCTTCCTAGTCTTTCATGAAAGCTGCTAATGACAAGTGGGTAATGGCTGTGTAGAAGGGGCACCGACCAGGAAGAAAATCCAGATCTTCAGAGCTCTGGTGGCCTAGTGGCAAGAAGCTGCACCACAATCCCAAAGCTGTGCGGATCAAATCCACCAGATGTTCTGCTGGAGAAGGACGGACAATCTCCTCCTGTACCAGTCAGATCCAATTTGACAATACACACACAAAAAATAATAAAATTAACAGAATTTTTAAAAATTTTTTTTAAAAATCCAGATCTTCCACATGGAAGGTGAAAATCCAACCACTGAAACATTACCTTCCAAAAAAATTCACCCTTAGTGTTTAAAAATGAGTGCTAAGAATGAGGATATTTGCTCAGATTTTTTTTAAAAAAGGAATTTGAACTTAAATTTTTTAGTAATATTTCATTATAAAAGACTAGTTTTCAATGATGTAGGTTTGTGAGAGCAGAAGCTTTGTATCTCTACATCCTAGAACATTTGGCATCTAGGGTTCAATAAATAAATAGACTTGGTTGTATTTCTACAAAACCACCACCATCAGCTCAGACTCACAGCAACGCTCTGAGAGGTTTCCGAGGCCATAAACCTTTTCAGGAGGCTGCCCAAGAGGTGAATTCAAACTGCTCACCTTTAGATTAGCAATCTGAGAGGTAGGCACCATACCATCCAAGCTCTCTTATGGATGGTATCTGACAATTTTAAAAATACTTTTATATGCTTACCTTCTGTAATCCTACAATAACTCAACTAACCAGAATTTCCATTTTTACAGATCTTTTTTGTACATAAAAGATTTAAAAATCATTACATCACCAAGTTCAAAGATTTCCTAATCTGTGAAAGTATTTCACAGACTATAATTTATATCATTAAATGAGGAACAATGAATTTGATTCAAGGAATCTTTTGTTTTGAAAAATATCATTGTTTCCTTTTTTAATTATTAAAAAGTGTAAATCCTCAGAGCCCCCTTGTGTTTACAATAACATACACTAGGGTGGTGCTCTCTCCTTAGAACAATCACTACACAAGATCAAGCAGGCAGCATTTACCCAGTCAGAACTCACAGGGTAGAAAGAAGAGGCTGGAGGATTAACAGGAACAATCCCAGGGAGAAAGTGGAAAGAGTATGGGTGCACTGTGGGTACTATAATAAATGCTCTTAAAACAAGAAGTGCATAAATGGGTGGAAAAAAGACCATGCTGCTCTATAAACGTTCACTCAAATCCCAATTAAGAGAAATAAATCACATGAAGCATAGTTTTACTCTGAAACATACTAGAAAACATCAGTTAGAATCAACTCAGCAACTTATTGTTGTCGCCATGCAACTACTTACGTATTTCAGGTAGAAATTGTTAGCTTTTCTCCTCAAACAAGTGTGAATGTCATTTCTTCTTAATCACTGTCCTCTAAAGCACAGGAGATAAGGAACAAGACTTCCCTACCCCCCCGCTTTCACCACAATATGGAAGCTGTAATCCATTCTTTAATAATTCCTTTAAATACCATTGAATTTGTATGAAAAAGCTCCCCTACAACTTTGCCCTACTTTTAGAATGTATTTTTAGAGTGAATAAATGCAATTTTCCTCCCTCATATATTTAAAGAACAAAGCATACACCATAAAAAGAGCAAATCTGCTCAGGCTTGCTCATGACCAACAAATGGCATGACTATTACATCGGGTCATTTTCATTCTACTACAGACTTTACGACACTATGCTTGAGTGATATGTTTGAACTTATGTCATATTTCAAATTTAGTTAGAAAAGAAAGTCCAAATACAAATATCTTTCTTAAAATATACAAAAGTCAAAGAAACACAAACTAAGGACCAATACTATTACTATTTTCAAGTTTTCTCCTTACAGTTGACATATACAATAGAACAATCTGGACACTTGTAAGCTGCCTACTCTGAACTTACGTAGTCTTGGGGCTCAAAGGTTAAACATTTGGCTGTTAAGTGTTGAGAAAGAGCTAACTCATAGTTGACACTCCAGTGGGAATTGAGAGGCTACAATCACACAGGGGAAGAATGCTCTTCTTTCTCTTACAAAGCAACTGATGGATTTGAACCACCAGAGAAATCCCTTTTTTGGTTAGCAGTGCAACTCCCTATGGACTATGCCACCAGAGGGACACATAGTGAAATAGTAACTATTGCTAATAAAGAAAAATATGGCATATAGAAAGTCATGGGAGTTGTCCTATGGAAAAGATGAGAGAAAGGTAGGGTTTAATGAAAAATTTCCATTATTATACAATAGCCATACAATTAATTTTTCAATCATACAATTAAATATATATTCCTTACAAATGATACTTGACAAAATACAAAATTTTCTAGATTTATTTTGTATTACAGTTACCCAGAGTCATTACTTTGAACATTTTTTAAAGTAAGTGAAAAATTCTAGCATACTGGTTATCAATCATTTTTAGATAAGAAACACAGATACACCACTTTCACTATACCTTGATCAACTCCATGTAGCTGATGGTTTGAAAAGGAATTAGAGGATTCTTTTAGATCTTCATAATCATATTCTTCTCCTGGCTCAGAAGATTTGTCACGCCGTGAGTAAATAAACTGAGCAGCTAGAATATAAAATAGTGAATGTTATAATAACATTTGCTTTATAAAAATAGACAAAGTAAAAACTTAAAATACAAATTTACTATCTATAGACAACTACTCACATTCTATACTAATAATTTTTTTCAAAAAAAAAAAACCCAGGTAAGACAAAACAGACTATCTAAAATTCAACTAAAATGCCTTTACTAATTATTCATTAACACCTCAAATTTCCTTTTCTTCCCATCAATCTGCAAGGCCATACTCTTCAGCCTACTTCCTCAACACTTGCAATAACGACCTATTTTAAATCTCTTAGATTTGCCTATTACTTCATCTTTCCTGAAATTCTTCTCTTTGATAAACATATTTCAATCCAAGTAACATAACTGTTTATTTTCAGGATTAAAAAAAAAAACCAACCACTGAAAATAGCACAAATAATTGTGTCTTTCTGTTGTTAGAGTTGGGTGTCTTTGATTTCACCACAAGTCAGAACAATTCTATGAACAACAGACTGAAATCTTGCACAGTACAAATAATAGCTTTACAGATAAGCAAGGAAAAGAAAAAGAACACACTGACACATTTTAAAAGCCAAATGAATTGTTGCAGAAGCATAGAAGGAGCTTCTGAAAAGCTGGACTATATCTACATAGGAAAAGCTAGGACTGGAATGGACTCATAGTTGTTGTTAGGCTGTCAAATCAAGCAAGACTCACAGTGACCCTACAAACAACAGATCTGAACCCTGTCCTATCCTGTGTACCCTCCTCATCTCTGACACACTTGAGCCTAGTGCTGTAGTCTATCCATCTCACTGATGTTCTTCCTCTCTTTCTGACTCTCAACCTTTCTAAGAAGCATCATGCCCTCTTCCAAGGAATAGCTTTTCCTAGCAATAGGCCCAAAACTGACATAGACAAAGCTTCACCATCTTTGCCTCCAGGGAGCATTCTAGTTGCCCTTTTTTCCAAAAAAAATGTTTGGTTTTTTTGTAATATATGGGATATTCAGATTAGCAACCTGCAATACACAGATGACATAACCTTTCTGACCGAAAATAGAAACCTAAAACACTTTATCAAAGGAAATCTAAAGACTAGCGCCTTCAGTAAGTATTATACTTTAGTATTAAAAAACAAAAACTCTTCATTACTGAACCAGTAAACAGCATCATGATAAACAGAAAAAAGACTGAAATTGTCAAAGATCTCATTGTCCTTGGATCCAAAATAAAAGCCAATAGAAGTACCAGTTAAGAAATCAAACATAAGGGAGTTCTGGTGGCCTAATGGCAAGACACTGCACTGCAATTCCAGAGGTACGTGGTTCAAATTCACCAGATGCTCTGCTGGAGGAGGGGGCAATCTCCTCCTGTACCAGTCAGATCTGACTTGACGGTACACGTAAAAATAATACAATAAAAAAAAAATTTAAAAAGAAAAATTCCCCATTGTTAAAAAAAAAGAAATCAAGCATAAAGGGAGCGGGGGTGGCCTAGGGGCAAGAAGCTGCGCTGCAACCTCAAAGGCGGACAGTTTGAATTCACCAGATGCTCTGCTGCAGAAGGAGAAGCAATCTCCTCCTGTGCTAAGCGGGGGGGGGGAATCAAACAATCAAACATATTTCATTAGCCCATTCTGCTCCAAAGATTTCTTTAAAGTATGAAAGGGGCAAGATGTCACTTTGAAAACTAAAGTGTGCCTGACTCAAGCCATAGTATTTTGAATTGTTCCATATGCACAAGTGAAAGCTGGGCAATGCATAAAGACCAAAGAAGGATTAATGCCTCTCAGTAACAATGTGGGCAAAGAATAAGGAATGTATCATGAACCTGCTGTTAATTAAAGACTTTTGGAAAAAATAATGCTTTAAAGGATGAGGAAGAAAGAGAGAAACTTAAATTTATGAGCTTAGTGGTAGTGTATCACAGTTCTTACTGATGCTGTAAATAGAAACAAATCACTACTATATTCCATTAAAAATTTAATTTACTTAATACAGAGTAATGCACTGTGATAATTTTTTTCTATGTGATGTGACTCTCATTTCAAATCTATGTCTACTAAAGGATAAAATAGTAAGTAAGGACATAATTAATATAACAAAGCATTTTACAATACAGAATCACAATTTCCTAAATTAAATGTAAATTTAAAAAAAAAAAAAATAGAAGCAAGGATGGCAAGACTGTCTCACATGCTTTGGACATGCCAGGAGGGACAAGACTCAGCCTTTGGAGGAGGCCATTTTTCTTTGCAGAGATTCAGAGACAAAGAGGAAGACCTTTCACAGACTGGCCTGACACAGGAGACATAAGAGCAGGCTCAAACACAGCAGGATGTTAGGATGGTGCCTGGGTGGGCAGGACTTCTACTTGTACGCAGGGTCACCATGAGTCAGAACCTATTCGACAGCACCTAACAGCAAACACAGTCACTGTAATAAAGGAAGAAAGAACAAGAAAAGATCCTTGACAAGAACAGCAGAAACAGAAATACGGAGCAAGTGAGAAAATGAATCCAAACTGTTGTAAGGCACATTTCCTCCACACATTAAGCTATTTCATTTTACTTGGATCCAGAAGAAGGTCTATCTGTGTTTCATTGATTATGCAAAGGCATTTGACTG